GGTCTATGTATCTGTCATTGAACCAATACCAGGCAGTTTTGACTACTGTGGCTGTATAGTAGGTTTTGAGATCTGGCAATGTGAGACCTCTTACTTTGTTTTTCTTCTTCAATAGTGCTTTGCTTATCTGAGGTCTCTTTCTAGAAAGGAAATTCTTGACACAGAAAGTAAATCTGCTTGCTGGGGCATGGGAGTGCGGGGGGTTGGGGAGAACTGAGGAGTGACTGGTAATGGCTTGGTGTTGGCAAGTCAGGTTGGCTCTGACTCATAGTGACCCTGTGTACAACAGAACAGAACACTGCCTGGTCTGTGCCTCCCAATCTCTGAGCCCATTGTTGCAGCCACTGTGTCAATCGGTCTCATTGAGGGTCTTCCTCCTTTTCACATTTTTGAATTATCTTCAGCAAAACTTTACTTGTGTGCAATATTAATGGTATTGTTGGATAATTTCCACATTCTGTTGGATCATCTTTCTTTGAAATGGGTACAAATACGGATCTCTTCCAGTGGGTTGGCCAAGTAGCTACCTTCCAAATTTCTTCACATAGACAAGTTATCACTTCCAGCATTGAATCCATTTGCTGAAACAGCTCAGTCGGTATTCTGTTAATTACTGGAGCTTTGTTTTTTGCTATCATAGAACAAAAGGCCTGGCACTCTGTAAAAGCATAAATGGTCAGTTTTTTTTTGAGGCATCCCATAAAACCCCATTGCCGTGAAGTCGGATCCTACTCATAGTGACCCCTCCTTGGGTTTCCGAGGCGATATCACTACAGAAGTAGATTGCCCACCCTTCCTTCCGAGGAGTGGCTGGTGGGTTTGAACCACCAGCCTTCTGTTAGCAGTCAAATGCCTTAGGCACTATGCCACCAGAGTTCCCTATTGAGGGATAGAACAGCTCAAACTGGGCAGCAGACAGGAAACCACCATATGCTCTTGAACTTGAACTTGAACAAAAGGATGGTTTAATTTTGGGAATATCATGAACTAGCAGACAATTTTCTGATTGGCTGACATTTTCTTAACTCTGAGTAACTGGTCACACGATTATCATGAAAACACAGAAGTTTCAGTTGAAAGACCATACATATTTTAAAATAGTGTGTTATTCTAATCTACAGACATTTGGGGCTAGATAAGCATTTTATGAAATCAGTTTTATAAGGGGCCTGGCATAAGCACTCTTTCTGAGAACAGGTTCTGCAAGGAAAACCAAAGCCAAACAAAACAAACCTCACTACTTCTATCAAGTTGGTTTTGACGCAGAGTGACCCCCATTGGGCTTCCAAGGAGGTAAATCTTTACGGAAGTAGGTTTCTCCATCTTCCTTCCACAGAACAGCTGCTGGGTTTG